TTGTTAGCGATGCCTCAGTGAGTTCCACCCTCTTGCTGGGGCTTCGAGAACTCTCCTTTGTTTCAACCCTGCAATTCTTGGGATTCATGATGAACTGACAAACCTTTCCTGTCATCCTTTGTGCTTGGACTAAGCTGAAGCAGGTCAGGGCCCTGCCCGTGCTTCCCTGCACTTCCTGAAGGTCAGCAGCAGACAGCGGGGGGGCGGGGGCAGATAAGATAGATAACCGGTGAAACCAGATGTTCGGTTTGAAGAAAGCCACAAGGAGTCAACAAGCAATTCTCAGAGTTTCTAGACCCCATATGGTAATTGCCATACATTCCTCACCACCCCTTTAAAAACCCATGCCCCCAGCTGCTGAGCACGACTTCCTCATCCGGGAGCTCCCCCTAATAAAGCTATTTCTGTTTCTGCTCTCCCCTGTCCTGTCAGTATGTCTGTCTGTCTCCCTGTACCTCAGCTTCACCTTTACATTTTGTTGCTGTCAGGTGCCACAGAGTCACAGTGGCCCTAAGCACGACAGAAGCAAACACTGCTGGGTCTGGTGTCATGTCGCAGCCATTACGTCAGTCCATCTTGAGGACCTTCCTCTTTTTCACTGCCCTTCCACTTCACCAAGCATGACGTCCTTCTCCAGAGACTCGTCTCTCCTGACAACGTGTCCAAAGTATTGTTTCTCTGTTAAAAAAGCCACTCACCGCCATTGAGTCAATGCTGACTGACATCGACCTCACACGGTGGAGTAGAACTGCCCCGTGGCTCCCCAGGCTGGCACTCTTTATGGGAGTAGCTCGTGGCGTGAACACGGGTGGTCATCAAGTCCCTTCTGACTCAAGGGGAGCCCATGTGTGGCCACAGGGCTTCAAGGCAGTGACCTTCCACAAGCAGATCACCAAGCCTGTTTTTGAGGTGCCTCCAGTAGGGTTCAAATCAAAAACCTTTGGGGGAAAAGTTGAGTGCTCACCATTTATCTACCCAGGGACTCTTACCTATATACTTACCACAGTATGAAAAAAAAAGAATGAGCAAGCGAGTCTATGTAGGGAGGTGGGGGCGCCAGTCCCCCAAACGGGAAAGACAAGAGGTCTGAGACAGCAGAGAGGTGGTCCCAACATCGTATGTAAACTTTGTCTCATGGGAAAACGTCGACTGTGGTGCTACAGCACAAGCATGAGAACCTGTGCCGCTGCTGAATGGGCTAGGGCTAGAGACCGACTGCAGGGCAGTGTCGGTCCATGCAATTAAAACGCTTGCCATCAAGGAAGCCCAAAATAAAGCTTGGGAGTCAATCTTGAAAAGGAGGAAGAATCTCCCAAAGTCACTTAGCAAAAGTTTACTGAAACGGATTTTTTTGCCCGTGACATTAATTTTTTCTGGAAAAAACAATTCACAAGAGTAAGCTAAGAAATTGCCGATCCCCAAATGTCCCGAGTGTACACCCACAATATATACCTTTTACTCTTACTCGGTGATTTGCAAAAAAAGGAAACCACCAGGCACTGACCAGCAGGCCTTCTGTGGTTTCTTGTCAGTTAGGCCTCTCGGCTACCCCGAGTCTCTCTAATGGGAAAATAACATGCAATGACAGGGGGCAAACGTCTAAGCCCCACCTCCTTATCAAGTCTTGATACACAAAGGGCCAAAACTTCACAGAGGCTTAAACGTCCTATGTGGAATACATGCCTGCCAGAGGGAATGTCAGGTGAGGCACGTGTGTTTCTGAAGGACGTTTCCTGTGTCGGCTATCAGATATCACCCACATTAGTCTTTCAAGCATGCATTCATATCGTCTAGTAGTTATCCTTCCTTTTCTAGCTACATACATAGCCACAGGGAGCCAGATTTCCATCCTGCACTTAACCCAACCAGAATATGGCACCACACCGAATGCAGGAACAGATGAGAATTCATCTGTCTTCTGCTAATAATGAAGTAAAGAGTTTTGAAAATGAAAAAAAAAAGTAAAACAATGCCCCTCTTCTCATTGAATTTTACTCTATGAAGTTATTTTTTTCATAAAAGTGTCATTTATTATGAGAATGTAAAATGAATTTACTATTTAGCCTTTTAAAGTGAGTAAATTCTTTGAAAACTTCCTAGTGTTAGTTTCCAATATAGTAAATACTGATGGGAAAAGCCATTTATGTAAATAAAAGCTCCTTGAGGTCTTAAATTTTTAAGTGGGCAAAGGGGTCCTAAGAGCAAAGTTTAAGAAAAACTGGCCTAGTGAGAGTGCCCACTGACAAGAGGAGGCTGGTGCTGCAACCTTTTTAGAAGCTGGACTGAGAAGGCGGGACGTGAAAAGAAAAACTGAAAAGTCCTGGACTCTACAGAAACCAAAAAGGGAAACAACGTGGAGAAAGAAATTCTAAAGAGTTGTCTGCAGTTCGATCGACTGAGCAAAGAAGAGACTGTCGTATATCTAGAGTCACTATAACAAAGGCCACTGGTGGCTGGCTTTACCAAACAGGATTTATTTTCTCACAGTTTAGGAGTCTCCGCGTTTGAATTCAGAGTGCTGGCTCTGGGAGAAGGCTTTCTCTGCCAGATCTGGTGGAAGGTTCCTATCTCTTCTCAGCTTCTAATTCCTGGTTCCATGGAGATGTCCACGGGGCCTGGCATCTCTCGTCCCTAGCTCTGCTTCATTCGCCTGCTTGTTTAATTTCTATCTCTAAAAACATCACCTACACAAATCCTGTCTCATTAACCTAAGAAAGACAACCCTTTCCCAAAGGAATGGGATGAAAAACACAGGCAGAGAGGTTAGCATTCACAACATACATTTTTGGGAACACACAATTCAATCCATAAGGGGCACTAACAGAAATCGGTAGTCATAATACCTGTAAAATTGCTAAGCCTGGTGTGAATCCAGGAACATGCTCCTTCATCTGCATGACTTCATTCCTCAGTCTCTCCCTTATATGCCTAGAGAAAAAGGAAACATTGAAGTGAATCCTTGACGTTTTAAGCACACATAAGTGATGTGGATTACTCGGTCTAGTTCTTCAATAAAAAATATCTTCACTGACTAGACACCATCTGGTATGCTATGTACAAGAACTTCTAATCAAGTTTCCAGACCTCAAGCAGACATGGATCTTTTTAAAAAAAAATCATTTTATAGGGGCTCGTATAGCTCTTCTCACCATCCATCCATCCAGCCAGCCAGCCAGCCAGCTATCATCCATTGTATCAAGCACAACTGTCCAGATGTTGCCATCATCATTTTCAGAACATTTTCTTCTACTTCAGCTCATTCCTACTCCTCTCCCCTCCCTGGATCTCTTCTAAATCCTACTGACTCTGAGTCCTGAGGCATGCAGGAGGCTCATTTAAAATCTATTAGTTGTGGCATTCAAAACCATACAGAGACTAAATGAAAAGTTGGGTTAAGGGAAAGTTCTGCTAATCCACCTTTAATAACACATTTTCAACATTCCTTCTCTCTAGGAGTATCATGAAAAACAACAGTGGGGCAAGGAACGGGAGCTTCCATCCCTTTGTTTGACCCACTCTAGTAAGACAATCACAGGATACCCACATTAAAACAAAGATTTTAAAACCTCATTGTCATTAAGTTAATTCTGACTCACAGTGATCCCAGAGGGCAGAGGAGAACTACCTCTTTGGGTTTCCGAGGTTGTAAATCTTTCCTGGCGCTTCCAGGCACCCACAGCCTCACCTTTCTCCCAAGGAGGGGTTGGTGGGTTCAAATTGCTAATTGCCCACCTCGTAACCTCGCACCCAAAGAAGGCATATTAAACCAAAGAGTCCCCACTCCAAATGCAATGTGGATCTATAATTACATTTCAATCTATCGAATACCTTTCTTACAAAAGGATTTAACTAAGGGTAAAAGCATACTCTGTTGTAAGACTTAGCCATTTACCAAAATAATAATTTACCAACATAAACTTCTCTTGGACCCAAACCCCAAACTCACTGCCATCAACTCACAGGAATTCTATAGGGCATGGTGGAACTTACTGCTCCCCGTGGGCTTCTGAAACTGCAATTCTTTACCGGAGGAGAAAGCCCTGTCCTTTTCCCTCAAGCTGCTGGTGGTTTTGACAGCTGACCTTGCTGTCAGCAGCCCAACGTGTAACTATTACACCACCAGGGTTCCTTCTCGTGGACACAGGAAACCAATTAAAATACATCTACTCAGTGCCACATCAGGAGAGACCAGACGCTGAAGAAGGACAGCATGCTTAGCAGAGGTCAGTGAAAAAGAGGAAGACCCTCAGTGAGATGGTTTGACAGCGGCTGCAGCAAGAGGTTGTAACAGAACACTTGTGAGGATGACGCAGGAGGCAGTGTTGCATTCCACTGTTCACAGCACCTAAGTGAGCCCTGGTGGCATAGTGATCACCCATTTGGCTGCGATCTGCATGGTTGGTAGTTGGAAACCACCAACAGCTCAGCAGGACAAAGATTGGCCTTTCTGCTCCCATAAACAGCTACAGTCTCAGAAACACACAGGGGGTCACTCTGAGTCACCACTGACTCGATGTCGATGGTAGTGGTTTGATTTGAGTTTAATAAAACCTACTGCCACTGAGCTCACTCCAACTCATGGCAACTCCACATAGGTTTCATGAGCCTTTCAACAGCTGTAATCTTACACTAGATCACCAGGCCCCTGGGCACATTCAAACCACCAGCCTTTCAGTTAGTCCAGGACATACCGTTTGTGCCAACCAGGAACCTTGAAACATATCAA